TTATAGAAAGTTCATCCCATTGTTCTGTGATGGCCAACGGGTAGAGGAATGTCAAATCCAAGAGGCGCAGATCGGCTTGGTGGGGGAACCAAATGTTACTCAACAAAGCTTGTACAGGCCTTGTTGTGAACAACTGCGAATTTCTTGGACCATAGTGGCTAACTTGCACCATTTAGCAGCTTCGCAAGAACTTACAGATCTCAACAAAGTGATGCTTGTTATTAAAGACGTACTAATAAAGCGAAAATGCAAAATCCCCCGCCCCCCCCCCCTACTGAGCAGAACAGCACTTCCCAAAAAGCCGCGGGAGTAACCACTTAATGTCTACTATGTGATGGCTAACAAGAAAGTTTGGAGTGGGCAAACTTCTAGGCAGAGGTCGTGAAGAGAGAGGGGGGTGAACGGGTGAGCGACTAAGCCATATCACGTCCTTTGTGAGAAGTCCACTGTTTTGCCAAGTCTTTTCAAAGCTGCAAAACTTTCACGTGCCCACATTCCTGTTCACAGTCGATTTCTCTCCCGGGGCACACTAGTAATCACTACGAAACTGTCTCGGTGAGAGGGCGCAGACGACGACCAAGGCATGGTACACGCTCCTATCTATGTTTATCCGCACAAGAGTGCCCTTATTCTAGAGCAGTATCGAAGTAGAATAGAGCGTAGAGTGAAGTCTGGTATAAGGTAATCGGCATGGGGGACTGAATGCTTCGTTGGTTTGTGGATTTTAGGTCCTTTATGATCAGTCTATTATATCGGGTTTGTAGCTCTTATTCTGGCCCTAAAAATAAATACCGGCTTGAAACTTGATCGTCGGCTGCGGCGTGAGTGCTGGCACATGCTTCTCATTTCTTTCGCCTACAACGGGAGCAATTTTGATGGGTGTACTGCTTTGGTTTGTGTCACCCAGAGTTTCCAGTTACCCTGTGGCCAAGGTGGCGCGGTACAACGTAAGAAGTGCCTTGTGCCCATGATAATGATAGTCCTCCCACCTTTTTAAGCGTGCCATGTGTCTGAAAACAATGATTGGTGCGCTTTTTGCGGGAACCAGTCGCAGGCCCCTCACGCTGCAGGTTATTCTGAACCAATTTCCAAAAATATTGCCTGCATTATGAACTTCGCTTTCAGCTTCAATCGATCGTTAGAAGTTGAGCAACCAACAACTGTGTCAACACCTGATATGAATTCCCGACACAACACCAGTTTATCCAACGGAAATTCGGGTGTTTTACCAAAAAGGTGAATTCCTTAAAAATCATATTTGTCACCAATTGCAGACTGGAAAATGGCTGCATAGTCCTCAACAACCCAATCGATGGGGCGTGTCAGTGTGATGTGGATTTTGGAGCGACGCCAGCTCAATCACCCCCCCCCCCACCCCCAATAATTGCTCGCCTGACCAGGCAACGGCCATTGGAAAACGAGCTGGCTGCGTGCCGAAATCCGGGCCACCTGGCACGCCCTGTCGATTCAGTTGTGAAGGGGTGCGCGCGTTAAATGTAGATTGATCAGTGGTGTTTAATTTAGCAATACCCTTGGCTCGTCTGTTTAATTCATCCCGATCTGGAGAGGACAGCATGACGAATGTGTCCCAGTCACATTCACATTCGCATTCTCAGTCCAGTTTCACTGACCCTGCGCTCGATGCTGGTGTCGGATCACCAGTTGGTATTAGAGCCTCACATGAAGGATGCACCAACTATGAGGAATGGATCGATGGCCGAGTAGATGGTGGACCTCCTGGCCCGGTGAGAAGATTTGTTTATATGTACAAAATTCTTAAAACTTCTGGAGCGAAACAGTGGCAAGAATGCTTTCTAATGGCCACAGTCTAGCTAGTTTTAGCTGCTTCATGTTCCGACGCGAGGTTTTACGAGATTGCAGTGAAAAGCTGATAAGTTGCGACGTTGACTAGGGCAGCGTCCAGACGCGGTGATGCAAGTCGACACGCTATGGTCGCGACTGCGCTCCAGTGCTATAATGGAAGCGCACGTATAGACGGGTATCAATCGGCATGGGCCGCTACTGCTTTGAGTAGCAAACGGCATCGTCCATGTCAATTCGACGCTCGCGCGCTATCCCGAAGTCTGAACGCTGCCTAATCGTAAGGCATGCCAGAACATGTGATGCCGTTTTTGCTATTGAGTGCAGGCGAGCAGACATGAACCAATTCAGTCCCGCTGCAGAACTTTTTCCAACTTTCTGAATTCACAAAAAAGTCCTGTAGAGCAGTTGACTGTTTTATCTTTCGCAGTGGTACTAAAAAGGTCGCAGTTCTTTGTTCAAAACATGGTTCACATATATAACCCCTTTATAGGTATCCCTTTCGCGAACACTTTCCCGAACGACTCCTGGCGTGCAGTCGTTCACAGCGCCATCGACACCAGCTAGTTCCGTGTCCTACAAAGGTGGACGGTCGACCTTCTATCAGCAACGTATCGGTATGTGTTTCTGCGGAGCTAACTTTAAATTGTTTTTTGTGGCTTTCAGAGGTTTCGGCTTTTTGGGCAGACCAACAGAAAGACGATTCTTTTGGAAAGGTGCCGTTATTGAGGAGTAGGTTTGAATCGAAGGGGTTGGTGAGATGATGCGTGATTGAAGAATCGGGCGTTTCCTTCGTGAGGCGGTGACTGCCATTGACGTACCATGAGTCCTGTATAAGAACCCAAGCTTTGCTAAAGGCTTAATGGGACGTCAAACGTACGTGTAGAACAATATGGCACCAGAAGTGACCATGAAGAAGCGCAAACACTGATATGGTAGCTCTCGGACTTGGAAAACTTCGCAAATGAGGGATTTGTTTGTTTAATCCGGTTTCGTCCTGAAAAACAGACATTTCTAGATCGAAATTAGAACAGGCAAACAAATTACGCAGA